GGGTCTCGAACCCACAGGCTCAGGCAATCCACTCACCTCAGCCTCCCAAAGGCGCGGGATTACAGGCTGAGCCACCGAGCCTGGCGAAGTTTATTTCTGTATTTAGAATTCAGGGATCAGAACCTGGTATTACTGGCACTGGTCTGCTCGCCCCTTATATCTCACAGTTAATATTACAAGTTTAGGGTTGCTGGTTGCTATAGATCGAGTACATGATTGACAGCATTGTTCTATACAGTCACATTTTGTCAATTATGGCATTTATGGTCCACACTTTCTGGTGCCAGTTACCAGGGGTAGTCCACAGTTTCTCTTACCAGTAACTCTAGACAGAAGAGTTGATCAAGTTTGCCATTGAGGAAGGGAGTTAACCTAGCCTATCATAAAGTAAAATATTCAATGCAACATATTGTTAATTAGAAGTTATAACAATGCCGGGCTCGGTGGCTCAGCCTGTAATCCCGCACCTTTGGGAGGCTGAGGGGAGTGGATTGCTTGAGCCCGCAGGTTCGAGACCCACCTGGGCAACTTGGCGAGACCTCATCTCTACAATAAATCAAAAATCAGCGGAGCGTGGTAGCACACGCCTGTAGTTCCAGCTACTTGGAAGGCTGAGGCAGAAGGATCGCCGGAGCCCAGCAGGTCGAGGCTGCGGTGGCCGGGAGCGGCCACTGCACTCCACTCTGGGCGACAGAGTGAGACTCCAACTCAAAAAAAAAAAAAAAAGAAGTTATAACGAGCAAAAAATTATACAACTTACAAGATTTATGGTTACATGTTTACTATAATTTTTATTCTGTGACTACTGATAAAATGAGGTAAGTAAAGATTCATTTCTGTCAGCTGAATGAACACAGCCTGCAGTGGAGTTAAGGATTCCTTGAAGTGACTTAGAGGAATGTATAGGAGATAAGGGAAAATGCTTTCCTTTGCTTATTCTCAGGAATGTAGGTACCTGCAGGGACTCTGAATAGGCTGCCTCTTCCCTCTTGCCTGGAACTCCAGCCTCACCTGGCCTCAATATGGACCCCAACTGCTCCTGTGCTGCTGTTGCTCCTGCACCTGCGCTGAGTCCTGCAAGTGCAGAGTGCAGATGTGAGTCCTGCATGAAGAATTGCTGCTC